AAATCAATCTAGCAACAGCTCTGAACTAGTGGACCTGCGATAAGTTTGGCTTAGGATGGTTAACTTTAGAGACTTGAGGCCATCAGTCCCAACTGTTTGGACATGCTGATCGCCAAGATGGCTCAGACAGAAATTGCGGAGATTTGTCATTATTTTTGTTTTCGCGTATGAACATAAGGGTAATTCAGGCAGATTATAAATTATTTCGAACTGGCGGTGGGTACTAACTGGAGATATGCTGCCAAGGGTCAAACACCCGACGTGTGGAAACATTCCAGCAACATCATTATATGGGCCCTATTTACACTGACCGCTTAGGCGGTCCTTGTACTTATAAGTTTCAAATAAACAAAAAGAGTTTGGAGGTGTTTTATTTGTTCAAGAATTCCGTGCGTGTCCTGGCCGCCATTGCAATAATGTAATCATTAGCAAATGCATTATAGCGGCTTTCACATAGCCCGCCAATAATTCCATTACCATTATTCATAACCTGGTAACTTTGCCACATTATTATCAACATTTGCTCACAAAAATGCGACGGTTGCTGCGAGCCGCTCCCACAATGCTCGCAGAATGTTCGCAGTTCGTGGCCCGTTCTTGGGAAAACGAATCTCTTCGTGGCTTGTTCTTGGGAAAACGAATCTCTCCATCAATTACGGACGTCCCAGCGTACTAGAGGGGCTTCATTTGGCCGAGCTTCTGCGATGATTCCCAGTGGAGAAAGTCACTGGTAGCTTTCCCAGTCGACGGAATGACGTTGCCAAAAAAGACGAATTGTTTCCACATCTTTCAAAGTGTGAACTACATCGATAATTTTCAAGTTCCTTTCACGTGACAAGGTCTCCAGTGCAGTGCAACTTGACTATTCTAGCTGTCCTCTGCGCTGGTGTACACTTCCAACATATTAAATACAAATCTTGGTAAATGCAGCCGTATACTAACCACTTTCAATGACAGCTGTAAATTATACACCATGCTGGAATTTTCGGCACAACGTCTGCGGTTGCACGTTGGGTCCAGATGTTGTCCCTGCCCCACCGCAGTTTACAGTCACAATTATACTCTCGTTACGTCCAGGAACAGTGGTTGTACCAGTTGTCCTAAGATAGATTCCACCGTTGCAGCATTAGCACTAGAAGTAGCTTCAGTGCAGCTCAGACGAGAATTCAATTAAAACCTTTTTGAGACTCAGAATTTCCGAGCAAGCAACATTTACGTGACAGCAGCAAAAATAGTGTTGCAGCCACAGATGTCATCACTGCTCCGGAATTTACGATTATTTGTTGCT